ACTTATTCGGGTGATAAGAAACAAAGAATTATAATTTATGTGCTCAGAACGTAGCATCTATCACACTCAAACATATTATGTTTTACCCAAGCCAGACTATGAATTAACCTATCTGATGCTTTAATATGTATCTCATATTAAACCAATGTAAAGAATAGATCTAGTAGACTCATAATGATGGATCTTACATCGTTTCACGGAACTAATTCTAACGTTTGATAAACTAATTCTATCGTTTGATGAAACTAACTCTATTGTTTGATGGAACTAATTCTATAGTTTGATGATCTAATTCTGTCATTCTTCTTCTTCTTAGTTCCTGTCGTACCTAGTGGAACATAGGGCTACAACAACACTTCGCCGACGGAAGTGTTGTTGCAGTTTCTGTAGCAGATTGTGATCGGGGTGGAGTTGCTAGCCCCACGCCCAATTCTGTCATTAGATGGAACTAATTATATTGTTTGATTAAACTAATTCTATCGTTTGATACAATTAATTCTATCGTTTCATACAATTAATTCTATCGTTTGATATAATTAATTCTATCGTTTGATAGAACTAATTATATAATTTGATGAAACTAATTCTATCGTTTGATAGAACTAATTATATAATTTGATGAAACTAATTCTATCGTTTGATAGAACTAATTCTATCACTTGATGGAACTAATTCTATCGTTTGATGGAACTAATTCTGTCGTTAGATGAAACTAATTCTATAGTTTGGTGAACTAATTCTGTCGTTAGATGAAACTAATTCTATAGTTTGGTGAACTAATTCTGTCGTTAGATGGAACTAATTCTATCGTTTGATGAAACTAATTCTATCGTTTGATGAAACTAATTTTATCGTTTGATGAACTAATTCTATCGTTTGATGAAACTAATTCTATCGTTTGATGGAACTAATTCTGTCGTTAGATGAAACTAATTCTATAGTTTGGTGAACTAATTCTGTCGTTAGATGGAACTAATTCTATCGTTTGATGAAACTAATTCTATCGTTTGATGAAACTAATTTTATCGTTTGATGAACTAATTCTATCGTTTGATGAAACTAATTTTATCGTTTGATGAACTAATTCTATCGTTTGATGGAACTAATTCTATAGTTTGATGGACCAATTATATTGTTTCATGGAAATAATTCTACCATTTGATAGAATTAATTATATAGTTTGATGAAACTAATACTATCGTTTGGTGAACTAATTCTATCGTCTGATGATCTAATTCTGTCGTTAGATGAAACTAATACTATCGTTTGGTGAACTAATTCTATCGTCTGATGATCTAATTTTGTCGTTAGATGAAACTAATTCTGTCGTTAGTTGGAACAAATTTTATCATTTGATGAAACTAATTCTTTCATTTGATGAAACTAATTCTATCGTTTGATAGAACTAATTCTGTCGCTTGATGGAACTAGTTTTAACGTTTGATGCAAATAATTCAATCGTTTGATGGAAAAAATTCTATCGTTTGAGAGCTAATTCTATTGTTTCATGGAAATAATTCTACCATCTGATGGAAATAATTCTACCATCTAATGGAAATAATTCTACCATCTAATGGAAATAATTCTATCGTTTGATGGAACTAATTTTATCGTTTGATGGAATTAATTTTAGGAATATCTCAATGTTTTCGTAAAATTGGGATTTCTGGATATTCCCTTTATATCGCAGCACTGACACTCTGGTTTGTTTGTTTTTTCATGTGCGGACCATAGAACTGATGAATAAGTAATCTATCTTCTATATTTATAGGCAGACATAACAAGGTTTAATTAGCAGAGTAAGAGACCAATGTCTGGAGAAAGGGAAAAATCATAGCTCGAACTAGCAATGCAATTAGTGTGTAAACAAATGCCTCACTAGGACGTAAACAAAAAATAGAATTAAAAACAAACTTAATAGCCACACATATAACAATTACACTTTGAACATTCTCAAAATAATTATCTTGTTTGTGGTAGCATCATTTAATGAAAATACCAGAGACAAAGAGCATTCATCTCGTTTCTTCTATGCTTTTCCTGATTTGAATCCTTGACTATTGCCTGTTTTAATATAACCAAGTAATCATAAATTTGTTATAAGCATTAAATGAGACAATCCATTAACTAGGCAATGCATTAAATCTCTGCAGTGTTAATAAAAAAGAAATTCAATTTACCGTTCCAAAAATAATTAAATAATATTATTACAAAATATTAAATAAAGTTTGTAGTTTTGGACATCATTGATGAATTAAGTTGAATTGAATATTCTTACC